AATCATATTCCTAGCATTCGTGGTTGACGAGATATAAGCTTATAATGATGTGCAATTCTGGTTGCGTTTCTTTTGCTCACCACTGTAGATGGAATCTGACATATGTATACTTAATCGTAAAATCCAAATTGTGAAAATTTAACTTAAAAAATACCTGTCTAATTATCCTGCTTGAGTATTCACAAAAAGTATTGGTGAAACTAATTAACAAAAGATTACTTTTTATATTGTTATTCAATAAAATTCTAAAAGGTAATAATTTCATAGGATTACATGCTGCGATCAAAAATCCGAACAATCAAAATTGAACTGGCCTAATATTTCAGATGTTTCCTTGGATTATTTAACAAATCCAATCAACGTCAGTTCCATCAGAAAGGGCATTTTATGAAAAATAGGATTTCAGAAAAAAGAGGAAAGAAATAATTTATTTTTGTTATATATTTTGACAGTAATTTTTTTTTGTTTTTTTGTTAAAATAAAAATTTCGATATTTGGGTAGTTGGATTTTTTGCTTTAATATTTAAGATCGAATAGTTTAAACTTCGGCTTAAACTACAAATTTCAAACGGTCTAGAAATCAGTCTACGGTTCGATTTTACTCTCAGACCGTCGAAAATCGAACCGAAACCGAATTGATCGAACCGTTAACATATCTAAATACATGATGTTTTACCCAATAATTTATGCATACAAATGAATTAATAATTTATTCAACCACAAAAAAATAATTCAAAGCCAAGTAGGGAAAACTATTGATTATGGTAAATAAATGATTATACAGTATATCATACATGAAAATAATTCTCCGCTTTTCTTACACCTACGATTTAATTTCCCTAGAACATGAAAAAGTTCATTTCGGTGTTCTATTTATATTAAGAGCAGGGATGGTTTCTCCAACAATACGCCTTCTCTTATTTCGGATATTTTTAAATGTTAGACTTTTTATAATTTTTTCCACATTTTTAATTTTTACCTACAAAGAATTTGAGTCATGAGTTATAAATCATTAATTGTAAAATTTTTAGTAGGAATAAGAAAAACATACTTCTAGTTCTTTCAAAATGCAATAAATGTCTTCAAAAATGCCGCAATCATCTCTTTCTGTTGGAAGTCTGCACTTATCAACTAGACCGAACAAATATATTCCATTACCCTCCCAATTCATAGCATATAAATTTATATCAAATCCTGCATCAATAATAAGTATTCAGTTAGTGACAATTAAGCCGCAAAGCAATAAGTTTCCATATAAAGCACAGCACAAGCACAATGCACACCTACTTGTGTCCAACCAAATATTATTAAAGACGATCTTTCATCATCATTTAGGTTCTTCCACTCATCTAAGACTCGATTTATAGAATCTCTCATCATTATAGTTAATTTTACTTTATCTAAAAATCTTTTTTTCCTACTTGATGCTGATAGTCCAAGTTGAATCAAACCTCCCGATACTTCCCCATATAATACCTCGAACTTTATGGGTGCACAGGTTAAAATACCTCTCATATCAGCCTTTCTTCCGACACGTGCTCTTTGCAAAGGGTCATTTGTCTTATTTCTAGCTTCGTTCGTAGCCAACGATTGTATCTCTCCCCTATAATAAAGAAATTAGTACCTATATTTTCTTTAAAAAGATAAAGTTACTTACCACTTATCATCTACTAGTCCTGAGGAAAATATTCCTCGAAACAGAGGGAACATGGTCGTCATTTTCAATTCCTCCTCGCTTAAATCTCTTTTAAAATGACTCATGTTTGATTTACTGTAAAATAAATGTATGAAATAATTGATTAATACCTTGCCAAAAAAAAAAGTTAAATAAATAAATAAGCTTGTCAAAGGAACACACATGAACCGAATGTTATCGTGGAGTGTTTCATATTTATCTATCTTTTCTTCACAATTGCCGTCAAAATAGGCTTGAAGGACTGACGGAGTACACTTCGGATTCCAGTTTATTTTATTCGCGAAATATTGAGATGCATTGTTCATTAACCTATCATTTAGTTCGTTCGTTTCTCTTGTCAAATCTAAGACGCCCCAATAAGCCGGACTAAAACACAAGCAAACTATTGATAAATACCGAAATTGTCACAGTGTTGAAATTATTATAAAAGCTTACGTGACTATTTTTTTACTTTTCGGGATCTTTTTTTGATATTTATAAAAATTTTCCCGCAATTCCTCCTTTAAAAGTTGTCGCTAAATATAAACATTATGAATAAATAAGTGCAAAGTTATATAAAGTATTGGAATAACAATAAATAAACACATACTACGCTAATTGATTCGACATTAGGTAATTTCAATTCGTCTTGAAGATTTTCATCATCTATGGAATCTATTAGAGTAGGTTCATTTTCTTCTCTAAACAATGCATATTCGTCATCAAATAAATGTTCATCTTCAAGACTTTTCCCTTTGTTGGTTATATCCTAAATTGTGTAAAGGATAGTAGATATTAATGCGTACAATACAGACTAATATATATATATATATGAACATACCGAGAATATAACTTTTTGTTCTGTAACAATAGAACTACTTGTTAAGGCCACGTTCGAACGAGGCGTTTGGGTTTCGGGCACTTGCAGTTTCTGTTTTGTATTTATTATATGGTGCTCAAATGTATCTTTCAGAAGCTCAGCAGATGTCATGACCTAACAAGGCAAACAAGAAACTATCAGCTAAAGTAATATTTCCTCTCGGGTATATATACAATGGGAGACTTACAGAGCTAGTGTGTACATCGTCTTCAGCCTGTTTGCGCTTCTTTTCATTGACAGCAAGCGTGTCAGCCATTTTTCTCTTTATAATCGTATCATACAACTTATTGCTGAGCAATGAGCCGGGAAGATTTCTTATTATGGAGAGGTTTTTATACCAGACAAGAGTTGCCTGTTCTAAATCTACGATATCGGTATTTTCGTAAAAATGCTTGTGAGACCAGTTCTTAAGAGAAATTTTCTTGAAATAGAGAGAAACGGTGGAGTCCCAAGGAGCACGATAGTCCATTTCTGCGCGCCTGTTCAATTTTACAAACTTTTGCTTTATCTCATATCGCGAAAACGCGTGCGTACCTACGCGTTTTTCGATTTTTACCAGAGAAAATTCCGAAATTAAGATTTAATAAAAATTTCCGGTTTGTTAATTTTTCATTAAACTGATTATGTTTGCAATACAACGCAAATTTTATTACCAGCTCTCCTTACACATTACAGGCTATATCATGCCTTTGCTTCAGAGTGTTTTTCACCGGCTTAAACCCCCGTTCTTGCTCTACATTCTGATTCATTTGCAGACACATGGTAAGGCGCCCATGCTGATTTAGTCTTTCGTCTGAAGACGAACAGCATTTTGTATGGTAAAGAGTGTTTTTCACCGGCTTAAACCCCCGTTCTTGCTCTTCACTCTGATGCGGTTATTTACCGTCCATACAGAGGCAACTCTTCATTTCTCTCATGTTTAATTGTTATTTTTTTACGAGGCACATATTGTACATGCATATGATTAAGCCCGATATGGGTGAAATTTAATTATTTTCATTAATAGCGGAAAATATGATACTATCAAAGAGGGAGGGAGTACGCGGATCCTAGGCCATTAATGCGAGTATTTTTTCTTTGCTCTCACGTTTTCGAAAAATTTCTACAGCTAATTTGTTTCTATTTTCTACACTAGATTTCCGAAATAAATTATCACACCCATAACTACAGAATTTTTGTCTATCTATATCACTATAATCCGCACAGACTATGTAAAAGATATTTTACGATTCATTTTCACATTAGCCTATATACAAGAAATTTATTGCTTTCACCATGCAAAACTTTGGCAGTGCCGAGACATGTGAAGATAAACAGATTTGCCAAATTGTCACTGCATCAACCAGCTTATATCATTGACATGAAGAGTAATATGTCCGAAATTATGAGCATCTAATAAACAAGATTTTTTTTTTGATTAATATATTACAGATGTGGTCGGTGCGTTTTATCAAACATACCATTATATTTTTATTTGTGGAGTATTTTCAATGATTTTTAGATTGATTTTGATATAGCGGTAATATAGATTTGAGATGTTATTAAGTTCGCTTGATTTTTGCTTTACTTATTATACAAGGCGGATAAAAAGAATAACTAATCAGCGTCTCACTCTATTTTATATGATTTGTAGTGGGTCTAAGAATAGAATTTGGAATATACCTTTAAAGAAAACTACGCTAACATGTTCTCATTATGAAGATCGATCAACGTGCACTCCTTAAAATTACAATAGACACTATCCTTATGTAAAGATTGACAAGGGGTCTAATATACATAATTTCATTGAATATATGCGGGAAAAACGCATGACATATTTTTTACCAATTTATTAATGATTGGACGAGTGTCTTCGATACATTCAATTCTTATGGTTTTCATATAATTTGCTAATCACAAGTTTCGAAATTGAACGGAAAAGCTAACCTCATGATCCTTTGGATTGGGCGAAGAGATATCACATACTTATAAATGAGTTATCTCGATTATTACGCGGGAAGACTATTATGTCGATCATATCCAATTTAGGACGTCTATCGTGAAAACCATTTCCAAATCTATTTTTGATTTATTTCTCGTTAAAATAAAAATGATTAGATTCAATTTGAGGTTTCCTTCAAATTATAAACAGACAACTAAATCAAAAAATTTATATTATAACTTTACAAAGCTTCATTTTTTGAAGTATTCTTTACCTATAAAAATGGCAAAATTGATTGACGGTAAAGCCATTGCAAAGTAATGAATCATTGTTTCAGAACTTTTTTAATATTTTTTAATATTTATTTTTTATATTTAAATTGATTATTGAAATATTTTAGGAATATTCGAGATCAAATTAAGCAAGAAATTGGTGAATTGAAACAAAAATATTCAAATTTTAAACCTCATCTTGCTATTATCCAAGTGGGTGAAAGAGAAGATTCTACAGTTTATATTCGTCAAAAAGAAAGAGCCGCCAATGAAGTAATATAATATACTTTATTTTGGAACTTTGTATCTCGTGATATGATTTTGTGTGACAATTCTAAAAATATTCACTTCTAGGCGGGAATTAAATTAACGCTACAAAAGAAACCCGGTTCGATTACAGAAGACAAGGTTTTTTTTTTATGATATTTCGAGTATTCTTTAATTTCATGTCTTAATTCATGCTCACGTGACTCAATATAAATCGAACTAGCTTCTAACAGTAATTCGTGAATTAAATGATAATCCTACAATTCATGGAATTTTAGTTCAATTGCCATTGCCATCACATATTAATGAAAAAATAATTAATGAAGCTATTAGCCCCAAAAAAGATGTTGACGGGTAATTTAATTTTAGACATAAATCATTTTTATTAACCAAATAATTAACCTTAATTTTAAAAATTTTTTTTTTAGATTTCATGCAATTAATATTGGAAATTTAGCTAAAAGACATTGCGAACCTTTATTTTTACCTTGCACGCCCAAAGGGATTCTTGAATTATTAAAAAGATCTGGTAATTATAAAATAATAATGATTATTTTTTAATTAAAATAGAATTAAAGTGTATGATTTGTTATTAGGCATCGAGATTTCTGGCAGAAAGGCTGTTGTGGTTGGCCGTAGTGACATCGTTGTAAGTCTTATAATGACTAATTTGCCTTAAAAAACGTGACATTGATCCAATTTTAACCGACTTTTTAAATTAGGGATTTCCTATTTTTTCACTTTTATCAAGTTATGATGCTACGGTCACATTATGTCATTCAAAGACGAAAAGTCTTCCCGAATTAGTTAGTATTTGTTTCGTTCTTTCAGATTTTAAATGAGATTTAGTTTTAATTTATATTATTATAGGTTAAAACCGCAGATATACTTGTAGTTGCTATTGGAAAAGCCGAATTTATTAAAGGGGATTGGATAAAATCAGATGCCGTTGTTATCGATGTCGGAACAAACGCGATTGAAGGCAAGTATAATTAAGTATAAGTAGTGACAACTTTTCATTCAATGATATATGTGCCCGGTGAATCTTATTTAATCTAATTAATCTACATGGATTCACAGATACGACCAAAAAATCTGGAATAAGATGGGTAGGGGATGTAGAATTTTCTAGTGCATCAACCGTAGCATCTTATATAACTCCAGTACCTGGTGGCGTAGGGCCAATGACAGTAGCAATGTTATTGCAAAATACTTTCGAAAGTACAAAAAGATTTTGGCAAGAAAGTAGAGAAAGAAAAATTTCTTTACTTTCTTTAAAACCTCTTTCGCCTGTTCCTAGTGATATTGATGTCGCTTCTGCTCAAATTCCTAAACCTATAAAAACTTTAGCTGAAGAATTAGGTTTAGCCCCAAATGAGGTTATATATCGATTCGTTTTTCCAAGCAATATACTTAATCTAAATTTCAAGAAATTTATATTGTAATTTTTTTTTTATAGTTCGAATTATACGGACAATATAAAGCGAAAGTAAATCTTTCCATACTTGATAGGTTGAAGACAAAAAAGGATGGAAAATACATTGTGGTTACAGGGTATGCTTAAATGTTACTCTTCTAATTTCTATGTTTTGCTTTATTTCAAATACCTTATTAAATTATCACATGAATTTTATTTAGAATTACTCCTACTCCACTCGGAGAAGGTAAATCAACAACAACAATAGGAATCGCACAAGCATTAGGTGCGCACTTAGGAAAACTTACATTCGCATGTGTAAGACAGCCATCACAAGGCCCAACATTTGGCATTAAAGGCGGGGCTGCAGGCGGAGGATACGCTCAAGTTATACCTATGGATGAATTTAATCTACACTTGACTGGTGATATTCATGCTGTTGTTGCTGCAAATAACTTATTAGGTGATAATAACTTTACACGTGTTTGTATTGATAGATTGCGTGTTAACAATTTACTTCATTTTAGCTGCTGCAATTGATGCTCGGATGTTTCATGAAAAAACTCAATCTGATAAGGTAAATTTTACATCACATTTCATCATTGAAATTTGGATGAAATTTATTTTCTGTGACTAATGTTACTAAATTAATTAACACAACAGGCTTTGTTTAATAGATTATGTCCAAATAAAAAAGGAATTCGTAGTTTTGCACCAGTTATGTTCAAAAGATTACAAAAACTTGGTATTGATAAAACAAATCCTGATGATTTAATACCTGAAGAAATAAAGAAATTTGTTAGATTAGATATTGATCCTGATACAATAACATGGTTTGTTTGCTATTTCTATGTCAAATTTTGACTTGCAAAATAGATGCGTTTGTCGTAATGAATACGTTAACGAAAGTGAGCTTTTTTTAACTTTGAAAATTTAGGCAACGTGTTATTGACACGAACGATAGATTTTTACGTAAAATTACAATAGGACAAAATCCAACAGAAAAAGGTCAAACAAGAGAAACGGGATTTGATATAGCGGTAGCATCCGAATGTATGGCAATTTTAGCTTTATGTACATCATTAGCAGACATGAGAGAACGATTAGGTAGAATGGTAGTTGCTAGCAGTTTTGACCGGGGAGAAGGCAGTGAATCTATAACAGCAGATGATTTAGGTATTGGGGGGGCATTAACAGTATTAATGAAAGACGCTATAAAACCCAATCTCATGCAAACTCTTGAAGGAACCCCTGTATTTGTACATGCTGGTCCTTTTGCTAATATTGCGCATGGTAATAGCTCTATACTAGCAGATAAAATTGCTTTGAAATTAGCTGGAACAGAAGAGTATGAAGAGGAAAGTGGATATGTCGTTACAGAATCTGGGTTTGGAGCTGATATTGGAATGGAAAAATTTTTTAACATAAAGTGTAGAGTATCTGAATTAACACCTGATGCTGTTGTCCTTGTTGCCACCGTTAGAGCCCTTAAAATGCATGGAGGTGGACCCGAGGTTAGAGTTCACTAAACTTTGTGAATATTTTTCTTTTTGTTTTTAATCATTGATCTTGGTTATCAATTAGGTTACACC